CTGTTACCTTTAAAATTGAACACACGGTATATACAAACTATATTTTGTATTCATCAGATGTATATAACAGTATAAACCAAAATACAGCATCTTCATGAAAAGAATTTAAACATGATAATTAATAATTAATTCATTACAATAAACATGCAATACTTCTTACTTCTTGCAAACACAAGTTACAATAATCATCTCGAATCTGGAAATATAATCCTAATATTCCAGTAAGTTTTGTGAAGTCATTAGTACTGTCACTGAATAACTGCATGAGTCTGATAGCAAGCATGAATAAACCACCAGTTTCTTGAAAATGAAATATGCAAAAATATTTAAAAAATACATTTTTATAAGTATGTAGGTATAGTGTAAGAATATTTTACACATTACTTATATTTTTAAATATCTCAAGTCGATTTTAAGTATTAATTAAAAATAATGAATACTAAAAAACTAACACATATAAATAAATTAATATACAGTTTAATTACTTCTGATTGTCATTTTTTTATATTCTTCTTCAGTTGGACATGTATAATTATCTCGCCAATAAATTTCCATTCCTTGACCTCGATGAAGTTCTAACACCTGTTCAGTGTATACAGTGGTAGCCTAAAAATATATTTACAACTTATTCTCCTTTAACAGCAATCCAAAAGTATTTATTTAAAAAAAAAATGAAAGAAATATGCACCATTGGATGTCCTAGGCTCAGAGTTCGTTCTAATGCAACAAATGACATATAGTTTGCAGCATTGATTGTACTAGCAACACCATAGATTGAATGTGCCACAGGTATCCCACGTCTCAAGACTGAATTATCTTGAATATCATCAGTTCTAAAATAATAAATATAAGCAAATATTAATTTTGTTTAATAACTATTAAACTAATTATCATAACTTTTTAATAATGTTAAATGTATAAGTATTTGTATTTCATCAACTTGAAACATTGACAATTAATAAATAAAGTAAAACAAACTAAATACTGAACAAAATTAACTAAGATGTATAGGTTTTTAATAATTTCTCAATGATTCATATAATAATTGAATAAAAAATTACCAAAACTAATTGGATATTTATTTTAAATTTTTCAGTTATGTAATATTCATGATTATGATATATATATATTTTTCATTATTATAATATTATAATATTTATTATTATATAATCAATGGTTATAGTAATGAGTAAATTCAAATTGATAATAAATTATAAGATGTTAAACATTTAGATATTTACAATATTATATACTTCTATGGTATTACAGAAAATTTGATCTTGATATTTATTATTATATAATGATAAAATAATAAACATAATTATACAACTATAAATAAAATTATATTTTCTTTTTGATCAAGACAATTAATTAGTTACATTGATTTATGATATTAGAGCAATATATATAATATAGGTATATAAGAATCTAATTACAACATATCAAGTTAATTAAGAAACTTATATAACATTTTTACGATATCTAAATATTTCTTTATACCTATGTAAGTCATGATTTACTTTAAAATGTATGTAAGTACAGTAATCATTAATGAGTAAGTAATACTGTAATAAGTAATAATTATCTTCGGAGACTTATGTAAAATAAAAAACATTTATTAACCGATTTATGGAAAATATTTATTCATAACTATTTTAATGATTAATTATACTAATGCAGATACACAACCATAATATAGAAGGTATCATTTGTAAATGTAATAAATTACATTTTCATTGGTTAAACTATCACACTATACAATTTTAAAACTTTTTTTTTTTTTTTATCCTTAACCTGGTAACTATGGCCATTAGCTGTTTATAGAGGAGAACGGTTGATTTGGAACATGAATTGTACCTAAGTATGGCAATAATTTTGTTACTAAAAATGTTGAGTGGTCAACACGCTCAGAGTGCATACCAAACACAATGTAAACACAGGACTACATCAAGTTACAAAAATTAATTTATTCAATTCATAATTTTTAAATTGAAATAATTAAAATGGTTAATTACTAATACATATTTTAACTTAAAATTATACATGCAATTCATACATTAGCCTTCACTTAGGTTTTTAGATAACTAATAAACACAAATATTACACAACATGTATAATGTATTCAAATTATTTTTAATTACAGTTAAACTTTTTTCTACTCTATAAGTGAATACGTACAAAAGACTAGAATTATGCAACATCTGTACTATATCTCCAATAACTGCCAATTTGTCGGATGGTATTTTCAACCAATAATTAAATGCATGAGCAAGTTTAGCTCTGATTTGTTTGCCAGGCACTTGCATAATATATGTGAAAGGCTGCAAGAGTTTCTAAAAAAAGATACATTAAATCAAAATTGACATATTATACAACTTTTAATTTAAAATTAAAACCTTATGACAAGCATACGTTATACATACAAAATATACGAGTATAATTGTTGTAAATCATTAATCTAACTAATTTAAGGTAGGCATATCAAAATCAAAATATTTATAATTTTAGATTCTGAGCGGAGCGAGGAATGTATTGATTTTATCAAGATGTTTTTTTTTTGTGTCTGTCATCACGTTTTTGGGCAATAAAAATGCTTCGATTTTCGACTTCAGTACTTTGTTAGATCAGAAAGTGAATCTATTTGGTACTTTGGGAGGTCAAAAATAAATAATTCTCAATATTTTCTAAATAATCGGTATAAACAAACTAAAAATTAAGGGAAAAACAGGATATTTTACGCACAATCAGTTTTCGACGAAATAGATTTTGGTTTTTGATGTAACTTTAAAACAAAWGACCATAGATACATGAAATTTTCACCAAATGTTTATATGTTATATGTTTAATATTCAAAAATTTTCGACTTAAATTGAACTATTTATAGGCATATGCAATTTTCGATCATTATTAGTTTTTTTTAAATTAATATCGATAAAAATGTATTTGTTGGGTAGAAA